CGACCAGTTTTGTGATCTGGAAGGGCATCGTATGGGAACTTAAGTAATCCGCTTTCAACTCGTTCATACGCATTCTACTAATTCCATCTTCAATTGCACGAACAACATCTAAATATCTTCTTGTTGTGAAGTTGATGGCGACACGGAAGTCCAACGGTCTCGAATTTTTTGCATGAGCAAATTAGAGTTTTTGTACGATAATCAAAACTAATTTCAAATTTCCTATTTTTTCTGCGTACTTTGACAAAATATAATGTTGACATTCATCTAATAAGGACTTAATCTCTGCCACAATCTGGTACAATGTCTCCCGTATAAGTTCATCTTGGAACACACGAAAAGATTCGCGGGTAAAAATCGTAGCGGCATGGCTTTCAAGGTCGACCAGTTTTGTGATCTGGAAGGGCTTCGTATGGGAACTTAAGTAATCCTCTTTCAACTCGTTCATACGCATTCTACTAATTCCATCTTCAATTGCACGAACAACATCTAAATATGTCTTCTTGTGTTTCAGTGCAATAGCTAGTGAAGCATTCATAGACTCGCACCTTTGTGTTGAGCGAATATTGGCAAAGAAATGACCGGTTAGATATGCTTGTGCCCATAAGTGTCGTGTATTTCCCTTCTCAATCACCCATAGATGCTTTTGGACGTTGAATTCTGAAACAACCGAACGCCATTGAATATCAAATTCCTTGGTTGTCCACCAGGAAGCCATGCATTTTGAGAATGTTACTGTAAACTTTGGGTCACCAATGTTAGCTTGTGCATTGCGAGAAAGATGCCAAGAACATAATCTGTGCTTAGCATAAGGGATAACAGATTTGATAGCCCTCTGCATTGCCCTATCCCCATCGGTTACAACGGAAATAGGTGATTATTCATCATGGCTTCTAAAAATTCTGTAGCACCCACTCGAAAGATTGAGACGTCTCGTCAGCGATTATGGCAGTGGCAAACACAATTGTGTTATGGTGATGATTGACACCAACAATAGGCATAATTGGTCGACCATACAATTATCTTTGTACGTTGTGTCGAACGCAATTACATCACCGAAGCATGTGTAATCCGATCTCGATGTAGAATCCGACCAAATAAGATTATATAATGCCCCCCCGATTCGTCTACCGAGTATGTCATAAAAAACCCGGGATCATCATGTTTCTTATAATCAAAGTAGGCAATAAGCGCATTCACATCCCCATCGACGATTTCCTTTGCTTTACCTCTTTGAAGTGCATTGTAGAGGTCTTTATGTGTAAATCCAACATTATGATAGCCCCCTGCCTGCTGCGTTAAATAGTTCATTACTTGTGACGTGCCAACACCGACCTCTTTCAATGTTGTTGCCTCATCGATATCAGCCTTACTTACAGCTCTATTAGAACGCATAAATGGTGTCATAGCAGGTGTGCACAATGCATGATTATGTTTCTGATCAGACTTACTTATAACCTACTGATCGTTTGTATTTGTTGCTGTAACTACGACTCTAGCCTTACATCTTGTTCTTGTGACTGGCGTATGAGCACGTTGACGATCAACAGTATTGACTTTTGATACTCGAAACCCTTCTTTGGAACAACAAAATTCTTGTGTCTTCACATTCCCTTCCACGTCAAGCCGTGTTGTTCCCTTACGTGCACTAACCCATGTTCCCGTGCGAATCCCTTGTAAAAGTACCAAGCTTGATCACGTGAACAGAAGAGCTGACCAACCAATCTATCAGATTCATCAACATTATGTACTTCATGGCATTCCTCGGTTGGCTTAACATTGTCTACATCAGTATTATCAATGGCAAAAATTTTGTTGTGCAAGTTCAGTGGTCCATGAGTTGATGGAGATGTAAGCAAAGGTTCATTTTGAAATGTTTCAGTCGTGCTGCTTTCAATAGGATTGGCATTGGTAGTGGTAGTTAAAGGGTGGGTACAACATTAAATTCGCAGTACATATTTAGGTATGTACAATAACTACAAGTATATATATCATTAAATTTAGGTATGTACAATAACTACATATTTAGGTATGTACAATAACTACATATTAGGTATATACATCTTTTGAGTGAGTTTTAAGATATTAATTTAGTAATTATAGGCGTCTAATGATTTATTTTTACGTTACGATATATTATTATTAAATTAAAAACAATAAACATATATACATATTTATTATTATCTTTGGTTAATATTGTTAAATTTAAATTCTAAATATATTTTATAAATATCAAAACAATCAAATAATTTTTTGTGCAAATGAAATTATTAAATTAATATTGTAGGTGGAAAACATGAAACACTATTAAAAAAATTGAAACATAAATTACATAACTTTAAAAAAAGTATCGATTCTTTTTATAAAAAGTATGGACACTTTCAATATAATAGGTAAAAATATGATGTAATAGGTAGCGCTTATATAATGTAATAGGTAGCGTTTATATAATAGGTAGTGCTTATATTGTAAAGTATCTATCCTTTTTATAAAAGTGTCCATACTTTTTTCACTGGGAAAACATTAATTTAATGTTATCTTTTGAGTGAGTTTTAAGATATTAATTTAGTAATTATAGGCGTCTAATGATTTATTTTTTACGTTACGATATATTATTATTAAATTAAAAACAATAAACATATATATTACATATTTATTATTATCTTTGGTTAATATTGTTAAATTTAAATTCTAAATATTATTTTATAAATATCAAAACAATCAAATAATTTTTTGTGTAAATGAAATTATTAAATTAATATTGTAGGTGGAAAACATGAAATACTATTAAAAAAAATTGAAACATAAATTACATAACTTTAAAAAAAGTATCGATCTTTTTTTATAAAAAGTATGGACACTTTCAATATAATAGGTAAAAATATGATGTAATAGGTAGCGCTTATATAATGTAATAGGTATCGTTTATATAATGTAATAAGTAATGCTTATATTGTAAGTATCTATCCTTTTTATAAAGTGTCCATACTTTTTTCACTGTGGAAAACATTAATTTAAGGTTATCTTTTGAGTGAGTTTTAAGATATTAATTTAGTAATTATAGGCGTCTAATGATTTATTTTTTACGTTACGATATATATTATTATTAAATTAAAAACAATAAACATATATATTACATATTTATTATTATCTTTGGTTAATATTGTTAAATTTAAATTCTAAATATTATTTTATAAAATATCAAAACAATCAAATAATTTTTTGTGCAAATGAAATTATTAAATTAATATTGTAGGTGGAAAACATGAGACACTATTAAAAAAAATTGAAACATAAATTACATAACTTTAAAAAAAGTATCGATCCTTTTTATAAAAAGTATGGACACTTTCAACATATTATAATGTAATAGGTAAATTTGCAATGCTATCGGTATAAATATACCGGTTTACTTATAAAATAGGTAAATATAAGCGATACCTATTACATTATATAAGCGTTACCTAGTATGTTATTGTACTTTATAATATTTCCGGTTAAATAATATAACATAACCAATCTAAATTTTAACCGGTCACTTATTTAACCGGTCACGCCGTATATTAGCCGTTATTTAGGCGCCGCACCGCAAAACTACCCTCATTGAATGTGAGAAAAATAAATAAATATTGTCCCTCCTTGCTTTATAAAGTTTGAGTGGCCTAATTTGATTTGCTTTAATTTCGTTTTTATTTTATGTAAAAGGGTTTTTTATTATTAGTTTCCACTTTAAAGTTCCCTTCGTATAAATTAACAATATTATCATCATTGTTAGAAATTTATATATAAATAAATAATTAAAATTAAATTAAAATGAAATAATTCACATATAAAATATTAAATAAATTAATAATAATTTATTTCATTTATCAATTAGAATTGAAATCAATATATTATAATATCCTCATCGAACAAATTTCACGAGAGAATTAATTTTCAAGTCTCCAATAACTTCATTTCATTCCAACAAAACAAAAAAAATTTTGTCTTAACACAATTTTGTCTTAACAATGGCCAACTATTAGATTGATTTAGAATTTTGTCTCTTGTAATTAAAAATTCATTCCAACAAAACATCTATAATCTTGCTAACACAATTTACAACAACAATTTCTCTTAACAATGGCCAACTACTAATGATCATATCATTATGGTTCTGGAACTATAATTCTACCACTACTTGTTAAAATTTTGTGAGTTAAAAAATAATCAACATGAAATAAATAAAACAAGAGGATGAGATTTAATGTTATTTAACATCACTTACCTCCACGTGTGAGAGAAAAAATAACTATAAATATAGAGATAACAAATAACTCAAATACATATAATTCATTGCATTTCAAAATTTGATGTATTATCAAAAACTCTTCCAACGTCACTACAAAATCCATATCTGCAACAAAGATACCAAAAGTTGTTGAGATCGTACAAAAGATGAAATCTCTCCAATAATTTTTCTCTCATAATTTTAAAAATACATACTTTATATTTTTATCGAATATTTAGTCACCAGAAATCCTTATACAAAATTTATTACCTAAATAAACTTAATTATTAAATAATATTTTACAAATAAAATTGCACTAAAATTAAATTTAATTATCAATTAAAGTTCAAGTTAATAATATCAATAATCAAGCTATTAACATTACGTTTTATCTATATTTTTTTAAAGGTTTTCAATATCTTTTTATATAGTTTTGGGAATTTGTGTACATAAGATTAAACATTATCATGTTACTAGTCAAACTTTGAGAGAATTTATGATAATTAATTAATTTGAAGAGAAGAATATTCTTTTAAATTGTCGAATAATTATAAAGTATTATTTGTTTAGTAACTTTTAACTAATTGATAACATATATATCCTACAGACGTAACAGCTCGAATTTGAGAGAACAACATTTTCTTTATCATTAAAAAATAGTTAAACTTTGTTGACTAAATCACTCAACCATCTTAGTCAAAAGGTAAGTTACTTAACATAGTACCTCTAATAACATTAATGTCTAAATTTAGAGTTCCTTGTTAACACTAGCAAACTGTTTTAAGAAACAAAGTTAAGGATTAATTACATTATATTTGATATATAGAGATCATAATTATCTACACATACTAGTTAATTACATATATAGGTTCATCCACTCCAGGCCTTGAATATAACTATTTTGTCCTATATGGAAAACATCTTGATCATATCCAAATTCCCCAAGGAAAGGTGGTGGATCCACGGCTTCCATTGAATATACTGATGATGAACACGGACTGTTACTCGACACCCCGTCGACTCGTTCCGTTGACCCTTGGATTTCTTTCTCCGCCTCTCGAAGTTGGTCTTTAAGTTTTAAAATCTACATAAAAATATTGAAATTTTAAAATTTGAATCAGTTGAATAATATATTAGATGTCGATAGTTAAAAAAAATCAAATAAATTATGTTACGGGCCTTGGCCAAGGCCAGCACCATCTAGCTTAAGCAAGATCCATGTTTTGATTGCAGTTTTTTCAACTACTTTTTTGTTGTGTAATGAAGTGGTAAGGTTTGATGTTCATTTGTGAATGCTTTTGTCACTATCTGTCCAAAATTTCTTTATGAAGTTTTTTAATGGCCTAACCCAACAAGATGGCATGATTTTTTTCGAGCCTAGAGCTCATGTACGTTCCTAGTATGTGGGTCTCCTTATCTTTTTAAGAGGATAAAGCTTAAAGAGACAGGCACTTGCTTCATTTTCTTCGAACCAACTCTCTTAATTGTTTTGTTAATTAATAATCAGTTCTTAAAAAATATTTCATAAATTGCGGAATTAAGCTCCCATCAATTCATCTTTTCTTTTTTGAATTGTGTTGTGATAAATTAAAATGGGTATATCCGGTTAATATGGGAATAGAGATTTTTTTTTTTGAAATATCAAAATCAAATCATTCATGTTGAATAAAAACAAAAACATGTTAATTTGTAAGAAGGGACATCCTAATATTATTATTAGCATCAGTTTGGTTCCTGAGAAATCTAAAAAAAAAAATAAGTTTCCTTTTTTAAGAGGTTAAATATGAAATAGAAATCTTTGATAAAGAGAGGGTTTGTGTTTAAACATCCAACTAAGTTAATCATTTAACTGATGAATCATATTATTTTTCATTTTAAAATGTATGAAATAAGTTGGAGTTGAAATAATTATACCTCCAATTCAAGCCGATATTTTTCAAGAACAACGCCTTCATGGACTGCCTTTAGTTTGCTGTACTCCTCCTCAAGCTTCTTATTCTTCCAACGGGCCCTTCGATTTTGGAACCAAACCGCCACCTGCCGAGGGTCGAGCCCCAACTCCGAAGCAAGCCGGTCTTTACGTCCGGACTCGAGCTTATGTTCATTTCCGAAATTAAGTTCAAGAAGATGAACTTGTTCATCACTAAGCTTCCTTTTCTTAGCTGCCGCTGCAGCGCCGCTTTCCCCTCCCTTGTTCTTCCTCCGTCTTCGTCGAGGCTTCGCTTCGCCTGCACATTAAAAAAAGGACCAGTTTAATCTACCAAGACTATTGGAAAATCATAGAAAAGACTGAAGTTTTTTTATTTTTACTGTACAAACTATTACCTTCTTGTGGTGCAACTTGAGTGTATAGGCCAGGGTACATTTGGGAGATAAGAGCTATATGATCTTCAAGCTCTTTCGTTTGGGTTGTCATGATTCTTTGCTAATTAATCTTCACTCTCTCTCTTTCTTCAAGAAATTTCCTTTTTTTTTTCTCTCTTTGACTTTAGTAATATGGTGGTGAAGTGAATGTGTTGAGAAGAAACGTTGTTTATTTATAGGGTTGAGGATGACGTAAGCACTTGTTTGTTGCCTTAAGGAGTACCCTATCAAAGACTGTACTTCATTGCTTCATGAATAACAACAATGCCATTATTTGATATATTAATTTGATACAAAAGAAAGTCTATTCTTTAATTACTTAGTTTTTACCAATCTTATAAACTTGTTGATAAGGGGTTTTTTTACACAAAAATATATTTTCTTCCTCACACAAAAATTCCATTAATTAATTAATAGAAATAAAAGAGTGCATATCCCACAAGCTTCCTAATTAATTAACATTTGGTCCCCTAGGTTCGGATTAGGCTTTCCTAATAAAGTAATTAAGAGCAAAAGTGAGGGGTGAGCAAGGGAACAAATACAAATCAAACGGGTCTTGGGATCCCAAACCTGACCACCTTAAAAAATTGGAGGGATGGTTGGCCTCCGGATTTGGACATGCATTGCCAAATCACCTTTTGTAGTCCAATTAGGTGGTATCTCAACTCTATTGCCTTTAGCCAATGACCTTGCATTTTTAACTTTTAAGTAACCATCCATCCCAAGTTCCAAGGTGGAAATGGGTGAAAATAAAACAAAAAATTGGGTTTTTTTATTAAAGAAAAAACTCACCCGAGTCTAACCACTTACGATAGGACACGTACGTTATATAGACGTAATTGTTTAAATTTAAAATCTTAAAAAATAATAATATTTATTTTAATCATTAAAACACAGGATGAATTCATCAATAAATCTTTTGTTAATATTAAATGAAAAGTGTTTGCGTGTCATATATTACTACTTACGAGTTATTTTTACAATGTTGATGTATTTGTGGAATTTTTAATTAGGTAATTTTGAAATGGGGTTAGTGAAATCTAATCTTAATAATAAAAATATATATTATATAAATTTATAAAAATGATTTTTAACTACGAAGCCATTTAGCTTTACGTCTGTCCACCCGCAACCTAGAAACATTTAAAAAAATACATAAAATGAGATCATTCAATCTTTGGAAAGAAGCTCAAAATGGTTAAAAACGGGGGAAGTAGTCATCTAGTAAAACATAAACACTTCATAAGTGAAACAATGGACACGTTACGATATGTTTTTTTTTTTTACAGTCTCGGTAAGTAGAAGGTAATTCTGATGAGAGCCACTTGGTAATGTATTCAAGTCACGATTGGAAAACTAAAAGAGCTGCAGGAAAGAGAAAGGGAGACAAAAACACAGAGACCGTTTTCGAAGTAAGGGCATGCATGCACATGGGGTGCAGCCAACGTGTCAGCACCCCAGAAAATAGCACTTTCGGGACCACCTTGTTCGATCCAACACGTGTCACTTCCAGTTCGATGTAGACAGTTTGTCTCACCTGCACGCCAATCAGGTTACTTCGGTCCACATTTTCACTGCTAAAACTTAGCCCCCCAAGCCGCCATATTTATTCTCTCCCCACCACCTTCAACCTAAAAGCCTTAAATGTCAATGGCTCTCTGTTTAACTCCAAAAGATTCTAACAGTCTTGATTTGATGCCAGCCCTACCCACCACTCCCAAACCGCACTTTAACCAACACTTTGATTCCACCATTGATAATCGTGCTTGTAAGGAAAGCAGAAAATTTAAAAACTTCGCAACTTTACATTTTGCTCATTTATCTCTGTTAGGCATAATCTTATCTAAAAAGAATCCATTTACTTTTCAGTAAAATGGTTTGGCTAATAACATTTATCAAGTAACGGGCAAGGACAGAGTTTACTATAAAAACTACATCGATGACTCCATTATGTCCTCTAAAATGGATTAAATTGCAAATCTTTGTCTAAACATATACATTAATCCTTTAGGGACCCTTTATCTCTCAAGAAAAAGGCTTTAACTACTATTATACATGTACTACTAATTTATGGGTTACTAATTAAGTGAAAGTTGCAAAAAGGCTTTTGTTTTTAAATCCAGTTGGTGTTCATTTTCTTGTTTACCAAGGTTAAACTCGGATTAAGAGAGGATAGGGATGAAGCTAGCAAAGAGATTCTCTAAACAGATTTGGCAGTTAATGAGAGAAAGAAAATAATAATAAAGCAAGAAAGGTAGTTTTAGGCCGAGGAAGATGCGCATGGCATATGGGGAGGGATTCCTTTGAATGCTTCTGAGTTGTTTAGTGAATTTAATAAACCATGACAGTGCCTAATAACATTAAATTAATCAAGTGTCATGTTTATCCCGACATTTGGAGCTCCTGTTTCCCCTTCTTCCAACTCCAACAGCTATTTGGTGATTAGATATTGCATTAGTTTTTCCTTAGCTAATCAAAGGTCTTCCCTTGATTAAGGACATTTTATAACTCAATCAAACAAATTCCATTCCCACACAACCCAATAATATTATTCTAACTATATATCATTTAGATCATAAATCATACAAGTACTTTGTTGTAATACAGCTCGAAACAGCAAAACTATACCATTATCATCAATTCAAAACCCTTTCTTTTATATATAAAACTAGTTTTATTACATTTCCTTCCTGGGGTTGTGAAAATGACACCAAGACTATGAACCTATGATGACACAGTGGGAACATCTTTTTGGTTTTTCAACCTGTCGACCAATAGCTGGGAATATATTGGACCCATATTTTTTTCTGCACATAATGTCTCTGGTGCTTACGTTTCATCTGTGTGACACATGAAGTTGGCCCCTAACACCACCTCCCCCAGTTCTCCTGTGTAATGACAAGAAAAGAAAAGAAAAGGGGAATGAGAGGTAAGTGTGTGTGTGTAGATTAAGTCCAGTGCTTATCAAATGTCAAATTCCAATCAGGGTTCCTCTTTCTATCCTTTCCAAGTCAATTCTGTCTGTGTTTTTATCTTTGCCAATTGCCCCACTCCATGTTTTCCTCCTTACTTTGTCTTTTACACCTTGTTTACTTCTCAGTACAACATCCCTTTATTTTATAAAATTACTCTTTCAATTTTTTCGTCCGCTTAATTTACAAAAATTTAATAGTTATTTTAACTTAATAAGATATGTCGATGTTATCCAAATGAATTGTTTTCAGTTTTAATAGAGGCATTAGTTTTCTTAATTTTCAAAAATTAAAGGATGAAATTTAAATTAGACAAAAATCAATGTTAAGTTTATTGGGTACCCATCAAACTAATCTAAAATAATAAAAAAATAAATGAAATAGGAAATCAAGTCTCGAGTATCGAAACATCAGATATTGTGTCCCTTGGCCCGACCTATGATCATGTGAAAATTAACGGGTAGGACATCCAACCCAAAAAAGAGTAAAAGAAAAATATATAATTATTTTTATTTGTATACACCGTTGATCAATAGATTGAATACTATATGGAATGATTATAAACACCACTAAAGTTTGTACATGATATTTGGATGCACCAATTGAAATATATTATTTTGAATAATGCACCAATAAAATTAAAACATTATTGTAATGAGGTGAAATTTTCTCTCATTGGTAAGCCGTTCATATCTTTTTTTTCCTTGTTGATCAACAATGCTATCAACTTTAATGTTGGTTGCCGACCGTCGATGTTCTTTGTTATCATTTATTATTTTTTTAAAGTCTGCTTGTATCACACGTTTTCATATACTTTTATGGCACATTTCTTCTGCATTTTGACATGTTTTCGGTTGTTTTGTCATTGTTTTCATTTTTTTCCCTAAGGGTTGATTAGACATCGCAATGACTGATCTGACGCTTATCTATTATATTATTGATATTCCTTACTTTGGATCATTGGATTGAATTTGGATACCTGTTATGTATTTGTGGATATATTTTCATGTCGCTCGAGTCTGATTTACATTTCGTCGGTGGTCTTTCAGTAGTTTGATCTCATTTTCTGGTTCGTTTGCCGTTGCGATCAGATATGTTTGTATTTATCTTTATTCGTGTTTTTTTTGATCTTAAGTTGCTAGTTTTATTTCAATGATTATATAAAATTGTCCTAATTATGTGCTTAATTTACGATTATGATTGTAAATATTATTGTAATTTAAGATATTTTCTATTTGAAGTAAAATTAGTGATTTATTAAAAAAGAAACGCACCAATAAAATTAGCATTTTAAGACATGCATTTTTATTGTTTCAAGGGTTTTTTAACAAAGATCAATCCTTGAATTACGCCTTAATTTAAGGCATTATCTAAATTAGTTACGACTTTGGTTAACACGTGTATGCCAAGTGTTGGGGATAGGTACCGATTATCGCCTGCTCCACCAAGCCTGCCTAAGATCCGAAGACAATGGTGCATGCCTCTTTGTATTTTCCATTATTTATGCGTCATTTTCAGTGGTATGTTATTATTAGGATAAATAAAATTTAATTTAACTTAAAAAAATATTTTTTTAATTTTAAAATATCTGAATTGGATTGTTTGAATTAATTCAAATCAGTGTGTTGCCTTTTGAGTTTAACTCTAGTTTGAATTTTATTAATTCAAAATTTTAAAAAAATTAAAACCTGAAACCACGCCATTTTGATATTTAACTAAATAATTTGATTATTTTATGATTTAGTCTCTAATTTCCTTATCTCTTTAATCCTTTTTTCACTTGAAGTCTATTTTAATAAAATTTGAACCTCATGTTCCTAAATCAATGTAAAATATCTATGTAGTTTCAATTTTCTCTTTTTGAGAAAATGTTTCCTTTTTACAATTTAATCCCTTGATTTTACATTGTTTCTCTGTTACTTTGATTTATCTTTTGTTTTAAGTCAATTTTAACCATATTTTAACTATATGCTCCTCTAAAACTATAGAATATCTATATAACTTTAATTTTATTTTTAATAACAAATTTTCTTATTTTAAAATTTATTCCCTTAACATTTTGTTCAATTTTCCTCTCATTATAACTTTTTACAGATGATTTATTCATATCAATTTCATGGTTCATTTATACTCTTATTAGGCTCAAAATCAATTCTTT